ATGGTAATTTGCTCATTACAGCTGCGCCCTGAATGACGTTCAGACAAACACATGCTGCTTTTCGTTTTAAAGAGAAAAACGCCGCTCGTGCTAACGCTAATTAGCCATCCTTCTGTGTTTTCCCCTGAACAGGGTCGCGGGGGAAGATAGCGCCAAAATAATCATTCACGCTGATTCGAATAGATTGAAACAAACTATTTTCATTGGTTCGTGCACCCTGTAACCTAATAACCTGATACCCGTCTATTGACACCAAGAAACAAGGGGTTGTTGTCAAATATTTCCTATGTTACAACTTTGACATTTCACTGTTTCCAAAAAAAAAAAAAAAAAAAAGGACTCGTGGTGCAAAGTGAGTGTTTGCGTCGCCGCGCAAATGTGTTTTGCACACGCTCGACAGACGAGCAGACAGCAGCGCGCGTGGGCGCCGCATCGTGTGGGAAGTGGCGGAGCGCGCGAAAGATGGCGCCGGCGCCAGGAGGAGAAGGAGAAGAAATAAAAGAGCAGAGGTGAGACGCAGATATGGGCAACAGATGGAGGGAGTCAAACGCGGTCACCGCCGTTCCCGTTTTGAACAACTCTGACCTCATCAGGAAACACGCAAATGTCATCCAAAAAATATCACAGTCGGCAGCTCGGTGGGCAATCTGGAGTTAGCCAATCCTCGTCTTAAAATGTTCTTCATTGAAGCATGTAGCGGGAGCATGTAACTGATTCCAGACTGCCTCAACCGGCTGCTTGTGCATTTTAGAATTCATTTTCAGAGTCTTTTATGGTCTCCTGCCACCTGCCTCGCGCTCCAGGTCACCTGACCAGTTGCTTCTGGAGGTACAGAGGTCTCGACCGAAAGCTCGGAGGGGAACGAAAAATCATTTTTCGTCGCTGTGGAATGGTCTCCCTCCGAGCGCCCATTTTAAAAACTCATTTTAAAACCATTTTTGGAGGCTTTCATAGTTTTGAGGCCTCCACACCTCCATTTCCCAAGACCGTCACATGCTCATTTTTCCTTCCGTCCATCTCCACTCCTCCCCCCAACACGTCCTTCGATGACACACAGGATCATATTCCCTCTCTTGGGAGTATGACGTAGCCAATTATTAGTCACTGATAAGCAGAGGAAGGTTCTTTACTCCCCTGCTTGAAAGACCTGGCAAGGAAAAAGACCCAATGAAAAAATACCAAAGTGCGCTCTAAAAATTATGTTTTTTCTTGCCCCCACACCCTCAAAAAAAATATGACTTAGGCAATTACGTGGCTGACAATATATTAAAATTCAAGCTCAGCCTGGCACCCAAAATCCCCACTCCCCAACCGTCGAATAGTTTTGGTGCATCACCGCCAGTGGCCACAAGGCGGACACAATGCGCCACAAGCAAAACACCAAAAGAAAGTCAAAAAAGAAGAAGAAGAAGAGATACTAGGATTAGAAGAAGAAGAAAAAGGGGGGGGGGGAATAGCGGGGAGGCCGCTGCGGTGTCTCGTTAGCGTTTTTGCGTTTCCAACAAAGCAACAACTACCGCTGCGTCTCCAGTCGTCTTTCGTTTTTCATTTTGGGGTGATATGAAACATTTTGACATCACAGACTTGAAGACAGTGTCTCATCTCCATTCCCGATGTGGGTGTTTATTAAGAGACACACTTTGGGCTAAGAATAGCCTTTTGTAAAGCATGAGTCATCTTCAATAGGGATGAAGGTTTTGTCTCTCAGGCATCTGATATTATTATTTGTAAGTGTCCATGTCTTGGTTTTCTTTACCATGGGTGGCTAGAGACAGAATTTTTTGGGGCGATTAGTCAACTAACATCCAGCAAACTCTCAACTGTCAGTCTTTGACACCCATGTCACTCACCAGGCAAGGCCTTGCATCTCAAAGCACTCAAAGTCACAAATGCTAGAGTAAGAACTTTCGGACGGCGCGTTCCAAATGAACAAAAATAATACCTGTCCCTCACATGCAATAATTTTGTTTTGTCATGCAAAAATTAAACTGTTGATCGGTTGACTTGATGAATCAACGGGAGAGTCGGCAACCATGACACCCCAAATCAAAAGTCATCCCAAGGTCATTCCTCCCATGGCGCCGCACTGGATCGTCGACTTCCTACGCTCCGCCCCGTCCGTCTGAGTGGACGCGGAGGAGGAGAGACAACAACATGAGCAAGCGTCCGTATGACTAAATCCCCCAAGTCCCCGTTGGGCTCGATACCAATCAGAGCGCACGCAAGCAGAGTCTCCGTAACCCATGGCTACAATCGCCCACAAGCTCGCCAGGGCACTACGGAGGATAGTGAACAGGATGCACAAAAAAGGCTCGCAGTATACAGTTTCAACGTGAGACTAAAAGCAGAAATACCCCCCCTGACCCCCCACCCACCTTGGAGCAGACACCTTTCAGCTAAATTGGATCATACACTGAGCAACCACTCGCTGGAACCCGGAGGTGGTCGGAACGCCCGCCGTCTGGCGGGGGCTCCACAGAGCCAGACAACGGAGTGTGTCGCTAAGTGAACAAAGAAGGGGGCGTACGTGGGCGCCAGTTATGACAGGTACCAGGAAAGGTCAACAAGGTGGAACAAAAGACTTGTAAATGTCAGTCGCTACGAAGTTGCCATTGACAACCAGGCCACCGGCTGGTGAGAATAGTGACAAATCATCTTAATTAGATTGTCCTCAATAAAAGGGGGCTTGGGCGCACTGTGGCCGCGATGACGACTTCAGATTGATTTTAGCGGCGAGCGTGCTATGTGTAAAAATGTTGTAAGTGAGAGTCCATCCGAAGATTTTAGCAATAAAAAAATTGTTCTTCTTTACTGAAGCCGAAAGAAGGCGGAGAGGTGAAACTGAAGGTGAGCTTGAGGTGGAAATGACGTATGAGCAAGGAAGAGATGGTGATTGGAAAGGAAAAGAGTGGATAGATTAGGCTGCTACTTCTACAGGAACTGCATACACCCAAAAAATATATTTTGGGGGACTAAAGCAGTCATTTAAATCGGAACAATACATAATATACATGGAGGACAATACAATGGACACTTATTTCTGCTAACTCGTATTTATTTGTTGGGGAAATGCGCTGACACCAATTTTCACGACAGCAAAAAATTTGGGGGGTTGAATTAAAATTTGTATCAAAATTTCTTGCCTTGAAATTCGGAGTATATGCTCCGAAGTACTGCTACAAACCGACCATTCAAACTATGGCGGATGCGTCGGGGGCAATAATCACCTAGCAATAGCGCTAGCAAGGCTGTATTTAACCCTTTCATGCACTCTGTAACCTGACAACATGATAAGATGTCCACTGTAGTAACCGCTGTCCCTTAAAGGGTGAATGAATTTTTTGAAAATTAATAATAGTAAGAATAATAATTTGCCAGGGGTGGAGAAGTCGATTAACTCCAAGAGACATACAGGCAAGTTGACAACAATATCATCTTAAAGAGAGGAAAGGGGGTGGGGTTGACAGGGCGCACCCTCCGCAGTCGGAGAAGTGGGGGAGGTGGGGGGGTGGGGGGTTTGCTTGCTTTGAATCCCTAATGAGGGAACTGTTGAAGGCCTCGTGGGAATAATGCAAAGCTCCTTTCGGGAGAAATGTCTTCATCCTCCATTCATCCTTCCCCCTACAAATGTTATCCGAGCAACAGGCACCCAATTGGAAATATCTCCAGTGCAGAAAGCACGACGACAAACAGTGCAACTCCAAACACACATGAAAGCCTCGTATTGGCTACACAATAGCACGGGGCCAACCGTCCATTCATTAATGGCAATCGGACCGCCCGCCGTCTGGCGGGGGCTCCACAGAGCCAGACAACGGAGTGTGTCGCTAAGTGAACAAAGAAGGGGGCGTACGTGGGCGCCAGTTATGACAGGTACCAGGAAAGGTCAACAAGGTGGAACAAAAGACTTGTAAATGTCAGTCGCTACGAAGTTGCCATTGACAACCAGGCCACCGGCTGGTGAGAATAGTGACAAATCATCTTAATTAGATTGTCCTCAATAAAAGGGGGCTTGGGCGCACTGTGGCCGCGATGACGACTTCAGATTGATTTTAGCGGCGAGCGTGCTATGTGTAAAAATGTTGTAAGTGAGAGTCCATCCGAAGATTTTAGCAATAAAAAAATTGTTCTTCTTTACTGAAGCCGAAAGAAGGCGGAGAGGTGAAACTGAAGGTGAGCTTGAGGTGGAAATGACGTATGAGCAAGGAAGAGATGGTGATTGGAAAGGAAAAGAGTGGATAGATTAGGCTGCTACTTCTACAGGAACTGCATACACCCAAAAAATATATTTTGGGGGACTAAAGCAGTCATTTAAATCGGAACAATACATAATATACATGGAGGACAATACAATGGACACTTATTTCTGCTAACTCGTATTTATTTGTTGGGGAAATGCGCTGACACCAATTTTCACGACAGCAAAAAATTTGGGGGGTTGAATTAAAATTTGTATCAAAATTTCTTGCCTTGAAATTCGGAGTATATGCTCCGAAGTACTGCTACAAACCGACCATTCAAACTATGGCGGATGCGTCGGGGGCAATAATCACCTAGCAATAGCGCTAGCAAGGCTGTATTTAACCCTTTCATGCACTCTGTAACCTGACAACATGATAAGATGTCCACTGTAGTAACCGCTGTCCCTTAAAGGGTGAATGAATTTTTTGAAAATTAATAATAGTAAGAATAATAATTTGCCAGGGGTGGAGAAGTCGATTAACTCCAAGAGACATACAGGCAAGTTGACAACAATATCATCTTAAAGAGAGGAAAGGGGGTGGGGTTGACAGGGCGCACCCTCCGCAGTCGGAGAAGTGGGGGAGGTGGGGGGGTGGGGGGTTTGCTTGCTTTGAATCCCTAATGAGGGAACTGTTGAAGGCCTCGTGGGAATAATGCAAAGCTCCTTTCGGGAGAAATGTCTTCATCCTCCATTCATCCTTCCCCCTACAAATGTTATCCGAGCAACAGGCACCCAATTGGAAATATCTCCTGGGGGGGTGGGGGGTTTGCTTGCTTTGAATCCCTAATGAGGGAACTGTTGAAGGCCTCGTGGGAATAATGCAAAGCTCCTTTCGGGAGAAATGTCTTCATCCTCCATTCATCCTTCCCCCTACAAATGTTATCCGAGCAACAGGCACCCAATTGGAAATATCTCCAGTGCAGAAAGCACGACGACAAACAGTGCAACTCCAAACACACATGAAAGCCTCGTATTGGCTACACAATAGCACGGGGCCAACCGTCCATTCATTAATGGCAAAAAATTGGGAGGAAATGGGTTCTGAAATCACATTTTCTGAGCTCCTCGTTCTAAGTGCGCGGCCGCAGACTCACATTAATTTCCGGAGGGACTAAGTCGAGCGTCAGACAAAGACAGCTTCATCTTCCTACGGCCATTGGTTGGGCTGAAATGAGCCTAATGGAACGGATTTGATGAGAAAATGTTCTCGTCACGCCATTTGACGGCAGGCTGTCGAGGACCTTAATGGGATGGAGATGTGACTGGAGCGTTTGGCTTACTGCTCTTGACAAGGAGGAAAAATATGATTAGCTGTTAGATAAAGCACCAAGGATACAGGATGGTGGGGGGGGGTGCACGAGGTGTTTTGTGTCAGTGTTTTTTAACCTGACGACCACTGATACACACGAGCAACCATTTTGCTCATGTTTCGGTGAATAGAAAACAACATTTTAGGGGACAGAAGGGGCCCGCCCAAGCCAGTCTAAAAAACGTTACAATGCTGCCATCTACTGTTCAATTTTAGTACTGAAGAATAATGCGGTTTTCCCACCATGTTAAATCGTGTCCTGCCTGACTGCATTTGCAATAAATGTACATGACATCACAATACATATAAAAACGGGAGGGAGTATATCAAAATTTCGTTGCGTAGAAAAACGGTATGTAGGCCAAACATGCCGAATGACTTGTCATAAATCGAAGTTTATAAGACACCGGCCGAGAAAAACGTTAGAGTCTTGTTTTGCCCGGACGTTCCTGAACGCACCGGCAGGTCAGCGGATGCTCGCAGCCGCTGCGGTTACCGCAGAGCGCCTTTGAAAACTGAAAACAATGTTTCGGAACAGGAAAGCGGATGCGTCTCGATGACCCAACGATGGTCCGTCGCTCCAGAGACGGTACTCGAATCGGGACCGACGAGTCCAACGTTTGCGGTGAGGCTGAGGAGAGCGCGCGGTGGCTGCCGCCATGGATGCGGCTGTACTTCTACGGAATGCACGGCGTCACTCTGGATGTGGTGCTCTCCTCGTTGCGGGAGGTTCTATCCAACCGGGACCCCAAGTTGCTCGGCTTTTCCTCACCGTGTCTGTGCGTGGTGCATTCACTGACCCACTTGGCGCTGGAGAAAGTCTACTCGAAGAAGAGGAGCTTTCAAGGGAGGCCTGTGCTTTTCCATCTGCTAGTTTATCCTTCTGTTTACATCGGGCTGCAAGTTCTGATAGAGAACATCGGCAACACACTGAGCAAGCAGGTGAGGGTCATATCTGGGACGCGCTTGGTCCTCCACTACATCCTGGCTCTTTATTTTAGTCAGGTGTTCCACAGGGGGGTGTCCAGGCTGCAGTACAGTCCCCCAGCGGGATCCCGTCCGATCCAAAGCGTCCCCGGGTAGGTCCGCTTCTTGTTTTTTGGCATGCATGGCTTTTTGGATGAGGTGGCGTTCACGTCGGTGTTCAACCTGGTGGAGAACCGAAGCCTGACCGGTCACACGTCCCTGTGGTCCTTCCTGATGTACGGGAGCTGCAGCTTCGTGGTGGAGAAACTGTACCTGCGCCTGCACTTTAAAAGAGGCTGGGGGTTGTGGCGGAGGCTCCCCATCTACGTCTGCTTCATCTACACTTGGGAGCTGTGCTGGGGTTTAGGTCTGAGGCAGTTCGACGCCTGCTCCTGGGACTACTCGCACTACCCGCACAACTTCATGGGACTCATCACCCTGCTCTACCTGCCCGGGTGGGTCTGCCTGAGTCTCTATCAGGACGTGCTGTCCAATATCCTGCTCGGCATCAGGTGCGCCAGAGAGGCTCTGCGACCAAGCGCGGACGGCGGAGATGTCAACGGATGGCCTCGGTCTTGCAAAAAAAGACTTTGAAATTTACACTTTGGCTCAGTTGTGCGAGTTGCTTTTTCAGCGTCGCTTCAGACAGAAGACGGCGCTATGAGGAAGTAAAAAGGGAACGTCTGTCATTACGGGACCGCAAAAGGTTATTCTCCATGTCGGTGGAAACGTTGATTATTATTATTACATTGAGGGGAAAAAAGATGCTTAACAAATGAAATTCAAAGTCGGTATCAGCACAAGGGTGCCTTTTAGACTTCCCTGTCATCCAAAAACTTTTTTCCTTTGAACTTCATTCATTGTATTCGGGAGATCAAACGGCCACGTTTTTCTTTTTTCAGTTAATTGCAAGTGAAAAATATACTTACAATAGCAAATCATGTGAGCTTGCTTGGCAGGATGAACATTTTTGGTACTTTTAGTATTGAACAAATACAATGGCTTGCAAAAATATCCACCCTCTTGAACCTTTTGACCTTTTGTTACATTTCAGGCTTCAAACTTTAACATTGCATGTTCCATCTTTCAGTTGTTTTTTTTTTGTGCGTGTGTCAAAAAAGAAAGGTTAAAATATCATATGAGGCCCAAAGGTGGCAAAAGTTCAAAAAGTTCAAGGGGAGGGGCCATCTATTTCTCAAGCCACCGTCCATTCAAAGTTTCTGAAAAGTTTTTATGTCAGCTGATATTTTACCAAGACAGAGTGGACATGTTAATCTTGACTACATCCAACAACGCACATTCGGTGATTTATTGTCAAAAGTGTAAATAGTAATCCTGTTTCAGTCTCATTTGAATCCAGACAAAATGCTCGTGGTTATATTCACATGTAAAAATAATGCACATTCAGTTATTTAAAAAAAAAAAAAAAGAAAAACACACACACACACACGGTCTGAAATGAAAGAAGCAAATTTGCGCAAATGTTTGACCACATTCTGCTTCATTTTTATGATCAATGAGGGAATTCTAGTCCAGCTCTGTCATTGTGCTAATCACACTCAAGTCAGGCTGTCAATCATATCCGGCATAAAAATAAATATCATTCATTTAAATGTGTCGTCACTGTGAATGCAATCATCCCGACGTTGCTTTTCTTGGAATATTTTAGTGAGTATTTGTGCTCGGTTGTTACGTTTATTAATTAACTGCACCCACAAAAGAAAAAATAATCACTGTGATGATCAAAGCAAATCTCACAAAATCCTGTGTATTTAGTAGCCGTCGCAGGTACGGGCCAGAAATCAAACCGCGAAGTAACATCTGTTCTCAAAAAGTCACTCAGCAGAACAAACGCAACGTCGAGTCCTAACATGAGAAACTTGTTTGGAAAGGCCACATGAGGAAGACCGGTTTTGATGTGATGACGTCACTTGCACTGTGGCCAAGTGGCGTGTTAAATGTTTTTGTATCTGACCTTGCAATTTTTCGTTGAAGCATTCTGTTGAGTTGACATGAACACGGTTGCCTGCTACTCCAGACTTTGTTCCCCTGAAAACCAACAAAGAAAATAAATTATAGAGCAGAACATCACGATAATTTCAAATAATTTAGAGTCAACAAAATGGAAGCCGTACACTTTCATTTTCCATTGACTAAACACATAACGCACTTTTAGGCAGTTAGCAAGCCAAAAAATAAAATCTACAGAGCAGTACCTCCATGATCGTTATATGTCTGTCACGAAAGTTAACTTTAAAAGATAAACATCTGAACTCCCATTGAATGCTGATGAAGTGTGCGCTTAGAGGCTTCCTCTTGTCGTCACAACATTCTCTGCAGTTCACTTGGATTTAACATTAAATGTTCAATACAGTGGCACTTCTTCTTTAAAAACTGTTAGTTTTCAAACATTCATTTGTGTAAAATAGTATTTATGAGTCATACATTTTAATTGACTCAACAGAGAATTTTTTTCCCGATATTTAAATGTACGGGGTAAATGTTGAAACTGCATTGGCTTACAACAATTTTAAATGCCTTTTTTTAAAGTAATAAAAGTCTTTTTTTTAATAACCAAAAATAATTTGTAAAATGAGCCACCCTTTTGCTGTAAAATACTAAAATGTACAGTATTTGATTTGTGAGGATTCCCAAATGTTTCGACTTCAGAAGAGCTATTATGGTGAAATGCTGCCCTCTTGTGGTTACATTTCAGAGTTCAGGGCATTTGGGGAGCTTTTATAGACATAGTATGGATGTAGTTTTATTTGAAGCGTTTTCATATATTGTATTTCAATACTCCCAGATATTGCCTTTTGATTTTTTTTTTTTTTTTTTTTTTTTTTTACACATAGTGGTACCTCGTGGAAACGTATCTTCCCATTGGACGGCATACTGACAAATTGTATGAACGTGATTAAATATGTATGTGAAAGCCTGCAGGGCACGTCTTCCTCAACGATCGAAAATATAATATTCATGTTGTCCTCTGCCCTCATTCTCTTGTTTTGTGGGTCATGCTAATATTTCATGAGCGTTACCCCCAACTAGGTGTCACCGCTAAAACACACACAACATGACCAAGCAGCCACACGACTTGACACATTCTTGTCTTACACGGCTGCCTGAGTATTTGCATACCAAGTGACATTAGCTGACACTGAGATAGCGTTTCCAATACACGTTTCACATCACGGTGACTACTTTCAATTGCGTAATTTAGCTTTGAGGTATTTGGAGATAAAAGCAAGAGGCAAGCGGAGCACTAGATGTTTCAGAACTCTGTTCCACGCATCAAAGGGGAAGTGAAGGCGCTTATGTTCTTTCGGAGTGGCTATCTAAAAAAAAAAAATCAAACCAGGTGGAGCAATGCAGCAGTTCCTGGACTTTTTTTTTTTATCCTCCACTTGTCAGTCAGGTTTTTCAAGTTGGTCAAGCCTCGAGTGCAATGCAGCGGAATTTGGTTGACCAAAGACCACGTGGAAGTACAGGTATTCATTTGTTGTGAACAAGGTCGAAGCTGTGTCAGTTCATGTTATTCAGAGACGAAACAGACTTAAAGTGGATATAAAAAGTCTACACACCCCTGTTCGAATCCCAACCCCAGTCATTAGGGTGTGCACACTTGTGCGACCACATTATTGCAGTGGAAATGGTTTTGAAACTATTTATCTGGTCAATTTTTTTTTTTTTTATATCACAAAAAAAATAAAGAAATAAATTGGCAAAGGGTGTGTAGACTTTTTATATCCACTGTATATAGCGTGTTTTGGCATGACCCGGCTTCTGACAACATCTAAGGTGCCGCAAACACAATTGAAAGCAATTCAAGGTTCATTCAAAGGGCTGCCATTCACCAGCCAAGCCACAAGTTCACAAGAATTTGTATTCGTGCGGCCTGGAGGAAACTCCACAAAAAAATGTCCCCAGATATGGAACAGACTTAACCTCTCAAAGGGCCCACAGTGGACAAGGAACTGAAAGTCACTTGAAATGGGACGCTGGGCTACGCGTTTAAGAGTACAAAAGCACAAAATGTGTCTTCATAGTGCCATAACTAAAGCATGCGGCAAAACAAATAAATAAAAAAATAAAACATCTGGAGTGTATTTTCTTTCTCTCTCATTTTTTTTTTTTTAAATTTCCACCACGGCGCCATCCTGCGTAACACCCATTGATGAGCCTGACTGAGCATGTTGTAAAAATATCCTCAGGCTTACTGTTGAAATAAGCATGAGTCACGCAGGCAAGGATGTATACTTGAAAATGGCTATCAAGCAATATCATTTGTGGAGAACATTATGCCTCGTAAAAAGGGGAAGATGATACAAATGTAATATCTAGTGACCGACGTGGGACCAGTACACTAAATGTATTTATGTATGTGCCGGATGTGGTCCTCATACCCCTGAGGGTACCTATAGTAACTGGAGCAGTCTTAATTCGACTTCAATTTATTATGGACTATATTTAGTGCATTGTGATGAATCATCCTCGCAGCATTCATAGTCCAGCGAGGAAATTAAGACTCAATCACTCCTTCTAAGTGCCCAGATACCTGCATACCCAATTTTCTGGTTGAATTAAGCAGCACAATCTTATCTGGGAGAGATAATTTTAATACTTCTCTTTTAAAGGTGCTTTTAGATTTGCATTAATTTCAGCCCAAAGTGCCCTCAAGAAGCTCACGGTTTTATGCTGGCAACATGCACCTTGTGTCTTACCTCCTCCCATTCTGCACTGCATACATTCCTGTCATAAAAGCCAGGGGCGGACAGGATCGTACCACACCTGAGAAGGACATCGCGAGAGATGTTATTTTCCGCATAATCATGAAGGTAACGACGTTTAAGTATGATGTAATCATATTTAATTCTCAAGTTGTGCTGTTAAGATGTGTTTTGGTGTATTACTGATATATTTTTGTGCGTGGGACGCAGCCGTAGGAAGACGTAACCCCCCGTTCCACAAGAATGGACTCGCCCTACCACTGCCATGTTGGATGGAACTGACTGCGGGCGCTAAGGCAGCCGGAGTTCCCAGGAAACTTTTTGGCGTTTTCCGCTCCAATTTTGACCCCCTTTCGCACAAAATCCGGATCTGGCGTCTTCTTCTTCGACACTTTTGGCATCACAGCCGTGCGACCATCCCGTGAAAGTCTGACTCAAGGAAGGGGGAAATCGGACGGAGGAAGGCCACGGATGACCCGGGGATTGTTTATGGATCTTTTCGGACTCCGTTTACCTTCTTAGAGTAAACGTTATCGCTCGGTTCACAATGAGCGGACTTCATCCGCAACGGCAAACAAATGTCGGTTCCATACTACTGACGCCTCAAGAGAACGACTACCTTTTTAACCACCTTGGCAGGAAATGCATCGTAAGTTCACGTCAGCCTTTCTAGTTCACCCTTTGATAACTTGTCTTCCTGTTTAACGACGCTCGTTTGAAGTGAGCCTTTTCCCCTTTTTTTGTCCTATTGGTGGTGAGGAGGGTTCGTTTGTTTTGACAGCCGAGGCAACGAGAGTTCGGCGAGCGGGGACGTCGAATTTCGCTCGGGACGCTCACAGTCGACCAACATTGAGTTGTAATCCATTTTATTAGGCCTCGACGCGTCAAGGTTGACGATTGACACACCTGAAGTCACCCAGGAAATGTTGCTATCCGACTTGGACCCGCACCTCCGCCTCAACTGAGCCGCCGTGGCGTTAGTGGCGTTAGCCCCGTCGTCAGTTAGCTGCTAAATCAATCAACAGCTTGCAAAAAAAAGGACTTTTTTCGCCGTTATTATATAACGTTATCCGAACCTGGGTTGTTTTCGGGAAGTGTGTCCACTGAAGGAATGTGCCGACAAGGCTTGGCAGGGGACAGCGCTGACTAGTGAGAACTCATCGGGGTTGTTTTTTTTTCCCCCCCACCATACTTCGTCAGTCCCCAAAATTTGAAGAGTCCTGCCTTACCAGTCTGACTGCAGTGAAATGTCACTATTCTAAAATTAGAATAAAAGTCATCACTCTCGTCTCTACTTTTCTATGAGCAAATAAAACACCATGCATTTATCCAGTTTTTCTCCCACTCCTTTAAAGTATTGATAAAGTAGCCGATACTCTGTGTCTGCCCCGATACTATGACATCGGTACCACCTTGACCAGCCTGATATTAAACTTCGGGGCAGGTGGGTCAAGAGACACGTCAGCCTCGTGGAGAAGCAGTCAAGCTTAAAATTTCAATTTATTGTCTGTAATGTGGATAATGATCTCCACTGAGACGCCGAGTATGAAATTTCTTTCAGCATATCTGAAATGACAATACATGGAAGTGAATGTTCAAATATCAGTAATGGCGACTCGTTACTCTAAAAAGTGTTCAATTTTCGTCACAGTTGCAAAAGTGTCATGACATTATCCACTATCAGTACTTTGTTTTGATGAGTTCTGAAATGTGAGTACATTGTATTCAGTGTGAAAAAAACATTTATATCAGTATTTATTCTCTCGTTGTGGAATCCGGGCCTCATTTAGTTGAACACAAAGATGGCGTTCTGTTCGATCAGCCACACGATTGTGTTGTTTCCTCAAAGTATTAATTGATTCCTGAAAGTAAAGTGCACGATGATTGGGGAAGTGTTTTTTTTTTTTTTTTGGTCTCACCTGACAGCGAAAAGCTACCTGTGCTCTATTTCCTGCCTCGTGAGTCTTGACGGACGTGTTTGTGCTTAACCCACATGCCGCTCGCTTTGTCTTCTTCCCTTTTCACAAGTTCTCTTGGGTTGTGCCGTAGGTTGACGTAGGCGCGCTCAGAAACGCAGCGGCGACATTCCTCCGGCGCTCTCTGCTGATCGTGTCACTCGGCGTGAGACGAAGGAATTTTGGGAGCATTCCTCAAAATCGCACTCGATCTTTGTATGCAGGGGGGGGGCGGGGGAGTATTTGTGTGTGTCTCTCCTTCACCATCAAATTCAAATGTGCAGCGGTGATTTAATGGCCGTCTTGTGTCTTGCAACGTTGATTTGCATTCCTGGTCGACTGCGCAAAATGGGTCAGAGGTGGTTTGATTGCTTTGTCAGTGCAGCACAAAAAGAGGAACAAGATTTCACGACCGCTTTGACTCATGCACGTGCAGAGATGCTCATTGGTATTCCCTCGGCTTTCGCCATCAGTTGGGGAAAAAAAAGGGGGGGGGGCATGGGTCCAATCTATGCTGTGTGTGAGTGTGTGTGTGCACAGACTGCCCGATCAGCATCCTACAGGAAGTCCCGTGGTCAGACCCCCTTTGGTGATTTGTGCTGGAGAAGTGCAACATGATTCCACTCAATATCGGCCCATCTATGTTCTTCCTGCCTGCATTTTAAAAAAAAATCTAATTTTAAACTGCAGCTATTATCTTTTTTTTTCTCCTTCCTGCACAAATGAGGTCGAGCGCCTTGTCCTGGAGGACGACCGAAATGAAAATGGCTTGAGCGAAAGAAGTCGGCGAGCGTGCATAGCTTCACTTCCTGCTATCTTTTGACCCTGTCAGGAACTATCAGCACTCCATGGGCCTCGTGCTCTTCAGCCCGTACGTCACCCCCCCCCCCAAAAAAAAAGTCTTAAAATAGCGTCCTCGTTACGCTCTTGAAAAGAAAATCTGATTTAACGATGTCATGTTCAGGAATTGCCACAGAATGAGGCGCTTGCTAGCTTAGCCGATGCGCTAGCACCGGCCGTGATGTCACGTCTGCGCCGCTTTAGCTTCGTTTCGTTTGCGAGTGCACACGTGGACGCCGTCCTGTACTTTAGCTCCGATGTTGTGGCAGTGCGTCAAAAATGAGATCATGAGTGAGACTTTGTCGTCACTTCTGTCAATATTTGACGAAAAACATGACTCTTGTGTTTGTGTTCCTAACAAGCTTCCCCGTCACGAGACAAAATGACACCCGAGGGCCTCTGTGGAGGAAAAAGCCTCCCAGCCTCGACCCGCGCGGCCCAAATTTGAGACAATGTCGCGAATCGGAACGAAAATAGGCCCCAACGGCCGACCTTTACGTCCCTGATGCTTTCATCATTAATAGCCGGGAAGCTGCCCCCCACCCCCACATGGCGCCGGGAACCCCCCTCGGCAACCTGTAAAACCAACACGGCGCCTGATCACCGTCTGGAAGTGTGCGTTGCCCATCTGTGCTTGCATGCACACTTTTAAAGAAGGAAGGATTTCTTTGTTAACTGATCCTGAGGGGGAAGCGTCACTTTTATTAATGCCTATAAAGAAGTTTGAGAGTTCACGAGCAGCTTCCTGATCTGAGCGTTAATCCGATCTTGTGCGCAGCGCCCCGAGGAGATGTTAACACCTAAAGGCAGTTGCTATAAAACTTTTTCCACCAAAGTTCCACCCCAAAAATGTACTTAGCTGTATTTCTAAGCCACTTTAACATAATGCACAGTTTGAGTGATTCTGTTGCTGACCAGTAGAGGGAGCCCCCACACTTTTGAGAACAACTTAAGGAAAATGAAAGGGCGTACTTCAATTTATTTTTTTTTTTCCGATGTGCTGTATCAGCGCTTTCGGCTGACTCTGCTGCCGTGTCCCTTCCCCTGTCCTAGACGTTGTCCTCGGCGGTGGTCCAGGTCTTCCTGGCAGACCGGAACGCCACCTGGTCCAAGAGATGTTGCGGCGTGGCCTGTCTGATCAAGGACAACCCGCAGCGGTCTTACTTCATCCGAGTCTTTGACATCAAGGTAACGCGGCATCGCGACGCGGTCGACCAGTGCGCGTCCGCTCGGACCCACATCCGAGACCTCTCATGTGTTTTTTTTTTTTTTGGTTTTGTTTTGTTTTTTGTCACAGGACGGTAAGATGCTGTTCGAACAGGAGCTGTACAACAACTTTAGCATAAATCCCTCCAGACCATTCTTCATCTCGTTTGCTGGAGACGTGAGTTGACAGTTTTTTTGTTTTTTTTTTTCCTTTCTGCGTTTGCATCTTACTGACAAAAATGCAACGACAAAAACCTGGT